ATTTATTTCTATTTATCTAATCTTTAATTGATTAAGGGTCCGTTTGAGGCAGTTTATAAGTGCGAGCGGCATTTTCAAAACGCTGCCGTACTGTTTGGTTCGGGCGTTTCACCTGCTTATCCGAAACTTCGTTTGGGTTTTTACACGAAACGCAGGCAGCGGGTTCGACCTCTGCAGTCGGCCCGCGGGCAGCGTTTCAGGATAAGCAGCTTATCCTGAAACGCACAAGCTGCCCCAAACGGACCCTAAATGTAAATAATTCATCTTTTTTGTGATTTTTTTTTTATTTATGTCATCCATTTAAAGTTGTTATGTTATGGCTCTTAGATTTTCTTACATTGCATGTTTTATCTATCGGAATACACTCTTTTATGTCATATCCATAAGACTACACTTTGTTGTATTTAATTATAATTATTATTTTTTAGAAGTGATTGTGATTGCACCATTTCATATTCATCTTCTACTTTGCTTTGTTCACTGGATTGCACTCTATCATATCTGCTATAGGTGAACTTTATTTGAATCTTGTTTGAATTTCGCTCGAGTATAGTCCCAAGTTTAGTTGAACTTTATTAAAAACAATATTGTCGTATAAATTTGAGTTAATTTGTGTGGATTTAAAAAGGGACATTTTAATGCAAAGCAAACTTTAAGATATGTTTATTAAATAAAAAAATAATAACAAATATATTTTTAATTATCACTAAAGGTGAAATGGAAATCAAGATGTCTTGTTATTACGAGGCGAGGTGTAAACCTCGAAACTTGAGCCTCAAAATAAAATAAAATAAAAACATTAAATTATAATATTTAACATAATTCATAAATATGAAATTTGACAAATCACAAATCTTAATCATTAAACTTAGAATTTAAATATGCAGATAGAGTTTACTAGTTCAATTAATAACACACACATATAGTATTACCAAAATACCAAATATAAAATAATGCTGCAAAAGTGTGAAATAAGACATGAACATTAAAATTAGAACTTAAATATGCATAAGTTATTTATCTGTAAATTTCCTAATCAAACTTAATATCTAAGAATTGTTGTAAATAAATTTACTTTCTGTCTTTGCATTGAGCAAAACAAATTTTTGTGCATTAATTTTCCTAATTTTCAGAAATTTACATCAAGACGACGAGCAACAAAATAATTATAGCAAAGATGCTTTATGTTTTTCCATTAACATCCTTCTAACAGCCTTATATACATTTACATTATCTATAAGAAATTTAACAATTATACTCTTCCCAACTTATTCAACAACCTAATCAAGCATTTTAAATGATAATTGTGCATCTTTTATAAAGGCCGATGCATCAACATATTTAATAAATATCATCCCATAAGAGTTGTTAATAAGAAAACTTATAATAGTTATGTGTCTGATATTAAACCAGCCATCTGATATTATAGTAACATCTGTCTAATCCAATATCCTTTTCACTTCATTTATCATTCTTGTTGCAATTAAAATCTTTTCATCCAACTTCCAAGCACACTTCATACATGCTTGGAAGATGCAACCATCACCCATAATTTCCTAGAAAATGAGTATATTGATCAATGAAGAACTCCTAATCACAATAAATGGGATTCCATTATTATAAAAACATCTTGCATTATCTAAGCAAACTATATTTCTATATTCTTTTGTAGAATCCGGAGGAGAAATTCTTTGAGAGTTGATATTCTCATCTTCATCTAGATTCACAACAAATTTGTCCATTAGTCTTCGAGTTTCTTTATCAAAAGAAAATTGATTTCACTATTGGAACCATCAAATTGTGAGACAAAATTTTAATTATTTCCCTATATCACTTTTATATTCCTATGTGTTGTTTCTTTTGAAGTGACGTATTTCTAAAAAAATTCAAGGCCTTATTCTTTGCTTCATTTTGTACTTTCTCGCATGCTCTAGCATTTACATGTATGTAATCTACGTGATCTTTATTACTTAATGCTTTTAACACCACCGGTAATTCTCTTATCACAAAATTTACATTTCATGTAAATGTATTCCTTTGCACCTTCTTCTGAGACTTTAAATTGAGTGCCATATTTCTAAACTTGATCATCTTTTTTTTACGCCACTGCCCATTTTAAAGATTATATGCAAACGTTTCTTCAAACAAAGCAACCATTTAAATCGAAAAGACTATTCATATTGTAAGCTAAATAGATCAATTCAACATGATCAGTTAGATTGAAAATGTAAAGATAACTCTGTCTTATAACTTTTGCTTTAATGATTAAACAGACAAAAATAATTTTTGATGCAAACTGAAAATGTTTTTTCGACAAAAGGATTAAATTCATCAATCATTTAGAATTTTTATAAAATTGACCTGGGACGAAAAAATGGGAAAGTCAAATGCTTTGGTTCTAGACCTGGATGGGGGCTAAACTTCCCAGTGCTCTATTCACCAAGCCCCCATATGTTACCGGAGCGCCACTTATGGTTGTTGGAGTGCCTAGCACTTTGGCCTGAGGAACTCTATGGGCGATGGGGCGCCTCTTGCACTAGGCTCTTTGGCGGCCCTATGGCACTGAGGTGCCACTTATGGGCGCAGGAGCACCCAATCCTCTAGACTAAGACACTGGGGCGCACCCTAAGGTATGATAGAATGTCTCAATTGTTATGCGTGCAAATGCCCAAAATATATTAAAATGAAACATTACATGAGAGAAAAGAGAAAGCTTTCTTGAACTCGAAAAAAAATGACGAAATGACAAAACCACCGAAGCAAAGATGAAGCCGCCCACAAAAGAGAAGAGGAAGATGTTAAACTTTGCCGCTCTACTGGAGTTCGACGCTAGACTTCAACTCTCAAAGGCTTGGGATGAAGAACTTCGACGCTCACTTGCATGAATCACGATGATTGTTGAAGGAAGTTAAAGAAGATAGAAAGCTCTCACAATGATGTCCAACCCTAATCCATGATATATGCTACATGAAAATTAGAGGATTTATACCTAATTTTGATTTGAGCGACTCTTCAACCTCCTCAAACTTTCATTATTAATTCTTCAAAAAAAAAAAAAAAAAAAAAAAAAAAAAAAAAAAAAAAACATTTTTCAGAA